TTATTGTGCAACATGCATCTTATTTTTTCATTCTGCACAAGCTAAGTGAAAATTGCAGTCCGAGGGGCAGTAGAAAGATTCTGATGAATAGCATACCTGTATTTCGCTTGAAAAAATAAACATAACTTAGAAGTAGTGTGCTTGGACATACTGTAGATGTTGCTTTCCAAAATCATTAATTCTGCTGCATAACTGTATTACAGTATTATGAATATTATTAAACCTCCCACCCTTCTTTCTCTACTGTTGCACTGTAATTCCCTCCAACCCAGAAGTTGGAAAGATCATTAACTGCATTCACGCCATTGATGGATTTTCGTATTCTAGTTTCCTAGAGTCTGTGAGAAAGTTGCTGGAGAACAATAGCAGTAGCAGTTAGACTTATATACCGCTTTATAGGACTTTCAGTCCTCTCTAAGCGGTTTACAGAGTCAGCATATCGCCCCCACAGTCTGGGTCCTCATTTCACCCACCTCGGAAGGATGGAAGGCTGAGTNAACCTCTTCTGTAGGTGTGGCCTGCTTTCCGGGTCCACTGGTGGAACCTCTTCTAACCGGTTCGGTAGATTTGACGAACTGGTTCTACCCAATAGATGCGAACTAGTAGGAACCCACCTCTGATCATGGTCTCTTCCAAGGCCTTCATGGCTTTTTAATCAGTTCCAGTCTGTGGCATATTTCTGGGCTGCTTGTTCCTTTACTATGGACGGTTGATCCTAAAAGTCAGAAACTATCCACCATTTCAATATCATCATTGTCAAAATCTCTCTGCTATATTGCACATAGTAATTATTATTTTATACAGTAATTCTGGAAAACTAATATGGAAAGATGATGATGCTAGGAAGATTCAAACAAGGGTTCTTTTGACATGCCATTCCATACGATTTTCCACTACTTGTTTCAATATCTGTGCTGCACTGAGTTTTTTCTGCAGGTAAAGTGGACTTGAATGTAGTTTCTTCTCTTAAAGTACAGATTTCTTGAATCAATTCAACAAAGTTTCCCTACCTCCCATTTGATTGCTTTTTTTTTAATGTTCACATTACAACAACAGAAACTAATTATGTTATATCTCCATGTACAATTGTACTGTGTTTCAGTGGCAGAAGATAAAATCAACAGGTTTTAAGTAGCCAAAGAATCTAGACTGGCTTTTAAGAAAACTGCTTTCAGAGCATTTGACTTGTATGACTGGAATACTTTTAAGGATATAAGTACTTATTGGGAAGCTTTGAAATGATTAAAATGCCTCCTGGAAGATATTATTTAAGTATAAAATAAACTTTGCCTCAATCTGAGAATTAGATTGGATAAGTTTATATACCTTCTTTTTAAACTGCTTATCAACTAACAACAGCTTTGTGGGTGTGTTTCAGTAATCAAGAGAACCAGTTCAAACTATCACTGGGAGTAGATAATGGACCATTCTTTACATTATTCCTTACACCTGACCACATGGCTGTAGATTTTTGTTTCTCGGTTCTTAATTCAGCTCTTGCTGTATTATTCTAAAGATGCTTTATTGGGATTCAATTGTTTAATGCTCAACAATAAGCCCTAGAGATAAATAGAACAAATGAATGGTTTGAAAACCTGAAAATGCAAAGCATAATGTATAAAAATAGTAGATCAGCTTAATTTTAAAATGCCAAGAATTGCAAGCTATATAGCACGGAATACTCTGTATTTATAGCAAAAAAAAAAAAAAAAAAATCAGGCTCCCCATATTTCAATTGCCTAACATTTGATTCTTTGCTAATTTTATATTTTAAAAACTCCAATTTCCATTCCAATAAGTTACATAAGACATACTGTAGCTCCAAATCTAGTAGAGAAAAAGAAATGAGACATAAATTAAAGACATAAATTAAAG